CAGAACAACCAAGTCAATTCATCAAGATATGCCACTCATTCTCATCATCACAACTACTTAACCAAATCAACCAATCATCAGCTAGTCTTACAATACACCAAAGTCCAAGCTCAGAAAAACACAAACAAATAATCCTACAAAGCATACCGGTCCACAAAGCAAGAGAAAAGAAAAGGCAAAAGCAATCCTAGAAATAAAAACTAGACCTGGTCAACCACATAGCCACGTAAACACGTAAAACTACCCCACACTTAAGATTAGACAATGTCCCCATTGTCAATCAGACCACACAATTAACCGACTCAAGAATAAAATAAACTATACAAAAATAAAAGAGAAAGATGTAACGCCCCGTTTCATTTTAAAGAATTGATCGAATTAATTAATAAAAATCAGAGTTTTTTTTTAAATTTTAAATTAAAAACATTTAACGAGAAACGGGCGCTACTTGCTAATGACATCTGATAAACACATCCATCAAACAAAAGAGCCTACACATACTCGGACTAACGATATAAAATTATCCCTTAAATTCATAAGTCTCAAAACATTCAAATAGATCTAGCATGAAACAAGGTTCAACCAAACTTAAACATAATTCGAAAGCGAAAGCAAGAATTAATCCAAATTATGAAAGCAAATAATTAAGTAACAAGTTCATGCATAACACATAATCAGTATACAAAATCAAAGCAGGGATATAAGCACATAATAAAATATCCAAATCCAAACGGGAACAATAAATCAAGTATCAGTTCAGCAAATCATAAACAGGCGGAAGCATAAAATAGCGATAACATAATTTGACCAACGACCTTCTCTCGCTCGTCTTTACGCCACCGCCACCAACTCAGCTCAACCTAAAGAAAGGAAGAGGAGACAACAATAGAAAACAATGGGGGTGAGCAACCAACTAGCTCACCATTATCGCACGATTATTCCGCATAATAATTTTACAAATAAATAATCGCAATGTACAATATCAATACCGGTATGCATAGAATTCATAGACTAAACCCCCTACCCGGCCCTATCGCAAACCTCCTATGTACATACAACAACCTTCCAGATACAACGGCATGGCTGTAACTGGAAACCTTCCCACCCCCGGATACAACGGTACATGAGATCCTTTCCAGGAGACAGTGAAGTTGAATCACCCCTCCGCTCTACACGGATTCGGGCGTCCACCTCCCGGATACAACGGGCAGGCGACTTCCACTGCTTTCGCATTCATCAAAGGCACTATCGTTCGGGACACTTAGACTAGAGTTCTCATGCATACAATAATTTTCAAAAGAAACATTACACGAAATAATAAGTGCGATAATTATGGATACAACACAAATGTACCCACTTGGTTGCAGCGACAGATCACAAACACGAATCTCACAAGCAGGGAGAGGTCAACACCTCTAGATACCTACATTAAGTCCAGATACTAAAGTCAACGCTTTATCTAGACCTAAGTAGAAATCACAAATTTGACTTAGTCGAACTTGATTCGACTAAGTGGTTCGTGAAGTTCTGTGGATAGGGGAACATTAGGACTTAGACTCGATCAAACCACATATTCAAATTCACATAATTGCAAGTGAACGAGTCACACGTAGACACATAGCAAATTCGGTCGACAACACTTAACCGAAAATCACCATATAAAACAATTTCTCAAATTCACACTTGAATTAGAAGGCATATCAAATCAATGAGTTAGGTTCTGAAACTTTTACATAAATTTCACATCCCAGTTCTAAGTAAGGTCACCAAGTTTCAGCTTCAAACTCCTTATGCATAATTTTATAAAATTCATACAAGTTTTTTAATAAATACGAGTTTAATTTAAAGGCACATGATAATGGACGATTCAGGCTATGAAATTTTTATCTAAAATACTAGAGCATGCAAGCAATAAAACATAAATTTATCAGCCTTCAACACTCAGTATATCAATTTATAAAATTAAAACAACATTCAGCCAAATATCGCAATTATATCAAAACTGATCACAAATGAACTCCAAAAATTCTAAACTTTTTACAGCATGCCAAACATCACATAGTCAGCACCTCCACAAATTTTCAGAATTTTTGAGTTTCAGAATAATTTATGATAATTAAAATAATTTCGTACAGAATCACAAAATAATTTGTTAATCCTATCAAACCTAGTTCAAAAAGTCTAACAATTTTACACCACATATAATCATGCCCGAAACATAACATACTCGAAAATTGGCCAGAAAAGAATACTACACAATTACTTATGCATTTTTCAAGAAACTGAACAGAAAACAATTTAATTTTTAAAAAGAGCTAAACACCTTTAAAAATCACGAAAAGTTTACAGCAGCTACATATTCATCAAAAACAGCTGCTCCTAAAATTTCAAGGAAATCGGCTTAGTATTCGATTTATAGTGAATTTTTCATTCGAAACAGCCAATAAGAACTTCGAAAAATCATAACGGCAATTATACACTTCCAATCGACACAAGGTCAGCGCCATTGTGTTCGAAATAATCCTATGTTCCTAAATCCACATCAACTAATCACTTTCAACGAGTTTTCGTTCGATTCGCATGAATCGACAAAATTCACATTAAATCACGTTAAAAATATATATACAACAATCACATAAAATGTATATATTCACATAACATCATATAGCATATCAATTCAACGTGCACGACTAACACATCAAACTGAAAATACGAAAAATAAATAGCAAATGGTCAAAGCTCGATACCGTTCTCGAGAAGCGCGAGAATGGTTCGAACGGATTGACGGGCTCGACGGCTACGCGCATCTCGCCGGAAAGGAGGGATGCGACTGCCGATGTCAGCTCGACAGAAGGGGGTCGAGGCGTCTATGCTGCGAGGGTCGCCGGAGGAGGGGAGCTCTCTGACTTGCTGCTGAACGCGAACGGAGGAGGTGGAGGGCTCGACGGGGCCTGCTGGCCGCGAACTCGTCGTTCGCTGAAGGAAGTCGCCACGTCGCTGGGAGGTTTGCCAGAAGAAGGAGAGGATGCGGCGGTGGGGGTACTCGCTGGTTCACTTCCGGTGAGGGGAGAAGTTTTTCACGGCGTGGTGACTTGAGTCGCAGTGAGAGGATCTACAGGTGGGGGTCGTCGCAGGGTTGCTGTTCGCGAGCAGAGGAACTCACTGGTTCGTGGAGGAGGACAACAGATGGTCGTCGGAAGTTGGGCCTGAGGTGCTGCTCGCAGAGGTGCAGTGGTTCGCCGGCGGGAGGAAGTTGCAGGCGATGGATGGTGACGACGGGGTGATCGGCGGATTTAAGAGAGCGAGAGAGAGAGGGATGGAGATCGGTTTTTGAAAGAGACGAGAGAGGTTGAGAGGAATTTCGATCGAGGCGTGAAATAGGGTTCTGCAAATCTGATGGAATCTCGATGGAGATGAAGTAGGCGTGAGATTGGGTTAATAAAGTGGCTGAAAAAAAATCCTTAACTTTTGGGCCGAGAGTCTCTTGCAATATGGGCCGAAAATAATAATAGCTATCAGGCCGATAATAATTGGACATGATAAATTGGCTAAAGACGGTTCGAAATAAATTAAATCGGCTAAATTAATCTGAAAGGGACGAATTGTCCATCATTGGGTCGAAAATAATAGTATTCGAGGTTCGGGTTGGAACGGCTCAAAAACGGATTAAAACGGAAAAGGTTCGACTTACGCGATTAACCCGAAAAATCGCCGAAACAATTAATTATAACCGGTAATATTTATTAATTACACACCTTATTTTAAAATAAATATAATAATAATATTAATAATAAAAATAATCATTTAGGCAATTAATTAAAATTAGACAAATAAATTTAGACATACAATAATAATAATAATAATAACAATAATAGTAATAACAATCATCATAAACTAGTACGTAACCCGTGCGATGCACGGGATGTAAAATTTGGAAGAATAATATAATCTCACGTGCATTAGGATCGAAATTGAAATCATTAAAATACATAGGAACATTGTTGAATCATAAGAAGTTCGGTAACAATCATAAATTATTAAAAACCTCCTTGTACACAACATTACGAGTTTGATTATTTGGTAACTCCTCATTATCACAAACTAATATTTTCAATCTCCTTCTACTATTTACACGCGAAGCAGCAACATATAATTGATCGTGACTAAAAACGGGTTTCTTCAGGAAAAGACCAACATGCGATAAAAAAAGAGTTTTTAAAAATTGAAAAGTCAAGGCAATTAGTTCATATTAATTAAAGGTCAAAGAATATCCGCTCCTTGAAATAAAGACGTGTGCTATCATTAACCAAATATCCGATTATTGATATATAGTGGTTACCAAAAAATAGAACGCGGTAAGGACGCTTCATGAAAATATCAATGGGATAAGGTCATAACAGATCGCTATACATTTTAACGATAAAAGCTCATATGAAATGATTTAATTAGATATCGCTATACATTTTAACGATAAAAGCTCATATGGAATGATTTAATTAGATGTGTGAAAATGATATAATTAATGAGAAGTGTGAAAATGACATAATTAATGAGAAGTGTGAAAAGGACAAAAACTTACCAGTTTTGGAAAATATTTAATGCAAATCCGACATTGACCATTATTTGACCTACTATTTTGGATAAATGTTAATTCTTATTATATAAGTATAGATAATCCTCAAATAAACCACAAGTAAATGGGGCATTACAAAAGAGAAAGAGAAAACGTACAAAGCACAGTGATAAGTCATTGTGCGCCCGGTGATGGTGGTGGTGGGGGATGACTGCTATCCGCATTCCGTTGGGTATCCCACTGGCTGAAATAGGTATCCCAAGTGCTCCACTGCTGGTACTGCTGGTCCGTCCAGGTATCCCATCGGTTGTCATGGGTTGTCCAGTGCTCCTCATTGCTCCGAACAAACTCATTCCACCTCTTGGTCTGCTCCGTCCATCATGTATCGTTGGACTCCACGAACGACGTTCAACGCGCGTCGTTCTACTGAGTGAAAGTCGTCCAACGGGCCTCATTCCGAGCCTCATACTCGGAGAACCAAGCCAGAGCAGCTGACTGGGACGACGCACCCATGTGCGCGTCTATCAATGGAGGGGACTGAATGGTCTCGTGGGTGGGATGTCTGTTGGCGTCGAGCTCGTCCTCATCCTCATCATTAGGGTTCTCGTTGGCTGGACCAGCTGACATACTGGCTTCCGGTTGGGACTCGTCATCCGGAAATGGTATACCCATTTCCTCGCAATAGGCCTTGTAGCTGGCCCGCTTGGTGACGGGCTTCGGAGTGTATGGGTTAATCAGGTAGCCGGCGTGCCAGAGGTCCTTCCGTGAAATCGGTTTGGCACTGATTGGAGGTTCGTCGGTCTCAACCCCAAAGTACTCTGCTAGCTTGGACACCACATGGCCCAAGTTTGGACCATGCCTCGTGTCATTGTGTATGTCGAACAGGGTGTCCTTCAGGTATTGCAGCATGGTTACCGGCTTGTTGTGAGAAATCGACCATAAGATGAACACCTGCTACTCGCTCACCTTGTTCGACTCCTTCTTGTAGAAGATCATCTGAGATATGTACTAGCTAAGTCGCTGATTAAACCCGAAGACAGCCCCGATTTCTTGTATGTCTCACAGGGGGAGATGACCGCCCAGTGCGGATCAACGTTGAATCCCATGGGGCTATGGCGTGACTCGATGGAGGGATCGAAGTTGTAGATGTCGCGCAACACCTTGCCGGTGATTTTATATTCCGTGCCCTTAAGTCGAGCCGTGAGGTACTTCCCATTTTTGTGCTTGGCGACTGTGCTGAAGAGCTCTAGAGTCAAATACCGGTAAGCATATGCCTTCGTATCCTCGAATTCCTCGAGATCAAGCAATCTGATGTAGCTGAGAATATCGTCACCGATCTCGAGCTCGTCGTTGAAGTACTCCCAGACGATATAACGTGGAGCTAGAACGGGCCTGTCATGAAGCCTTTGGTATGCCGTGACCTCGTCCATTGACACGACCTCAAAGGAGATGCGATACTGCTATGTTAAGGACATGGCCGGGGCTGCCTTGTCGGGGTTGGCGCTCGTGGAGGCCACCTCTTTGCCCTTGGAAGTTGCGGGGGCCTTTTTCTTTGAATTAGCTCCGCCTTTAACCATGATTTTTGGTTTAGGTATTTTATCGAACACGTGGCGTGCAGGGCTAGGGCTTGCAAGCTCGTGAACAATTTGAAGGTGCTTGATCCCGGAGTTGGCCTCCTCGCGCCTCAACAAAGATTAAACTACAAGTTTCGAGAAGCTGACGGTACCTTTGGAAGAAATTCGGTCGTAGACGAGCAAGTCTTCACGAATGACGAGCTAGGGTTGGTGAGGAATTCTGGAATAGTGGTTGTTGGAGATGAATGGTGTCACTGAGAGCTCGTGTTCAAAAGTCGCCGCCGTTGGTGAGTCACCGGTGCAGGTTGGACAGTCGGATGGCTGGAATTGCAGGTGATTCAGAGGTTAGGGTTCAGTGGTTGAGTGGTCCGCGCTTGCAATGCAGGAGATGGAGGTTGAGGTGCGTGGTCGGTGGTCGGAGGGCGTCACCGGAGGTTCTCGTCGGTGGTCGGACGAGAAAACAGTCGTATTTTGTGTAGGGCAGGCGTCGGGTGTGTTTGAGAGAGAAGCTGAGATGTTTGAGAGTGAAATGAAGATGACCCGTTTTCCCTTCTCTTTTTTTTATAACAAGTCCCAGACCTTAGCTGGGCCAAGGTTCCGTAGCACCGCTAGCACGCCTAAGCCGTTCGACGCAGTAACCGCCTTAGCGGCGATAAGGAGTCTTAGCGCCGCTAGCACCTGATTTTTTTTTTTTTTAATAAATATATATATATATATATATATATATATATGTATTCAAAAAGTACAAAGATGCTCGGTTTTAAGCCGGGAGCTCGGCACACTTCTGAATCAAGGATACAGTGTTTCGCCGAGACTGATGGTCTCGACATGTTGCTTCCCGAATTCTCCTTCAAAGTACGGTTTCACTCGCTGTCCATTGACCACGAACAAGTTACCATATGCTGGGTTTCGGAGTAGAACAGCTCCGAGAGTCAACACCTCATCAATAAGGTATGAACCGCTCCATCTTGATTTGAGCTTCCCGGGAAAGAGATGAAGTCGGGAGTTGAATAAGAGGTCTTTCATACCGGGAATAAGGTTCTTTCGGACAATGGTCGAGTCGTGAAGCTTTTTGACCTTGTCCTTGTAAATTTTGGAGTTCTCGTAAGCCTCGTTCCTCAACTCCTCAAGTTCTGACAGTTGCCACATCCGCTCACGTCCAGCTGCATCAAGATCAAGATTCATCCGCTTTATTGCCCAAAAAGCCTTGTGCTCGATCTCAACCGGAAGGTGGCATGACTTTCCGTAGACGAGCCGGAATGGACTCATCCCCAAGACTCCTTTGTAAGCTGTGCGTTGGGCCCATAGTGCATCATCAAGACGACTGGACCAATCCTTCCTGGACGAGTTCACCGTCTTCTCAAGAATGGTCTTGATCTGCTTGTTGCTCGTTTCTGCCTGGCCCAAAATCTGTGGATGGTATGGGGTGGCGACCTTATGTGAAATGCCGTATTTCTTCATTAGCTTCTCAAATATCCGATTGTAGAAATGTTTGCCCCCGTCACTCACAATAGCTCGTGGAAATCCAAAACTGCTTAACATATGACCCTGCAAAAACTTGATAACCACTTTAGTATCACACGTCCTTGTGGGGATAGCCTCAACCCACTTGGACACGTAATCTATGGCAAGAAGAATGTACTCAAAGCCAAAAGATTTGGGAAACGGACCCATAAAATCAATGTCCCATACATCAAAGATTACAACTTGAAGATTGTTAACTAAAGGCATTTCATTCCTTGGGCCAATATTCCCAATTCTTTGACAACGGTCACAAGATTTGCAAAATATATAAGCATCTTTAAAAAGAGTCGGCCAAAATAAACCTGATTGGAGGACCTTAAGGGCGGTCTTTCGACCTCCGAAATGTCCCCCACACTGAAGTTCATGGCAAAAAGCAAGGACATCTGGTTGCTCCTCTTCGGGCACACACCTCCAAAGGATCTCATCCTTTCCCACTTTGAAAAGGAATGGGTCGTCCCAAAAGTAACTCCTACACATCAACACAAAACACTTCCTCTCTTGGGAAGAGAGGTTAGACAACAAGACTCCATCCGACAAATAATTGACAATATCTGCATACCAAGGGACACTGACAACTTCGCTCACATGCTCGTATGAAAAACTATCATCTATATCAACATGCTCATGCAAAGTGAGTGAATTATCAGTAGGGACAATGCGAGAGAGATGATCAGTAACCACATTTTCACAACCTTTCCTATCACGAATTTCTACATCAAACTCTTGCAACAATAAAATCCAACAAATGAGTCTAGGTTTCGATTGAGTCTTACTCAAGAGATACCTAAGAGCCGCATGATCAGAATGAACAATCACTTTAGATCCCAAAATGTAAGACCTAAACTTTTCAAGAGAAAATATCACGGCTAAAAGCTCTTTTTCAGTAGTGGTATAGTTCAGTTGGGCACCGTTTAAGGTTAAACTAGCATAATAAATTACACGAAGTAACTTATCAACTCGTTGACCCAAGACGGCTCCAACAGCAAGGTTCGAAGCATCACACATAATCTCAAAAGGCAACGATCAATCAGGAGCAATAACAATAGGTGCAGTCACAAGCTTATTTTTCAACTTATCAAAGGCAACTACACATGCATCATCAAACACGAAAGGCACATCATTGGCAAGCAAGTTACACAAAGGCTGGCTAATTTTCTAAAAATCCTTTATAAACCAGCTATAAAAAGCTTCTAACCCCTTTCACATTCACAGGAGGGGGTAATTTTTCAATCACGTCAATTTTCGCTTTATCAACCTCAATACCACGATTCGATACCACATGACCTAACACGACTCCACTAGTCACCATAAAATGACTCTTCTCCCAACTCAAGGTCAAATTAGACTCAATACACCTTTCAAGCACACGAGATAAATTATTGAGACAATCGGAAAATGAAGTACCGAAAATAGAGAAGTCATCCATAAATACCTTTAAGCAGTCCTCGAGCATATCTGAGAAGATGGAGAACATGCACCTTTGGAAGGTCCCGGGTGCATTGCATAGGCCGATTGGCATTCGTCTGAAAGCAAAGGTGCCGAATGGACATGTGAAGGTGGTCTTCGGCTGGTCCTTGGGTGCTATGGCTACTTGGTAGTAGCCGGAAAGTCCGTCTAAGAAGCAGTAAAACTGATGGCCTGAGAGACGGTCAAGGATCTGATCGATGATGGGCAACAGGAAGTGATCCTTCTTTGTCACGGCGTTGAGGTGCCGATAGTCTATACACATTCTCCACCTGGTAGTGATGCGGGTGGGGACCATCTCCTTCTTCTCATTCTCTATGACCGTGATGCCCCCCTTCTTGGGCACCACATGGATCGGGCTGACCCACTCGCTGTCTGCCACTGGATAAATGAGTCCCTCGGAATAGAGCTTCAACACTTCTTTCTTGACCACCTCCATCATGTTTGAGTTGAGTCACCGTTGGTTGTCCCGAAATGGCTTGGCACCTTCTTCTAAGATGATCCGGTGCATGCATGTGGAATAGCTGATGCCCTTTATGTCTCCGAGGCTCCACCCAATAGCCTTCTGATTCTTCTTCACCACCTCAATCAGCTCTTTCTCCTCATCACGGGAAATCTTGGAAAAGATGATTACCGGCTTTTGCTTCTCGTCATCAAGGAACACATACTTGAGGTGTCGGGGCAGCTCCTTCAATTCTGATGTGGTTGGAGTCGGTGTGTGGGGATCGTCGGCTGCAAAGAGCTCAATTGTTGGCTCTTCTTCATCGTCTAGATCGGGCGTTGTCCTCTCTTCGTAGTCACGTATAGTCGTCTCCTCCACAAACGGGTCACTAACATCAAGAAAAGCACACTCCTCCACAAAGTTCACTGAAGAGGTGGATATGGCTTCTCGGACGGAGATAGATACAGATTCGCCAAGACTGTCATGTTCAAGGTCCCATTTTCCACATCGATGAGGGCGTTGGTGGTGGCCATAAATGGCCTACCGAGAAGGATGGTATGGTCCTTCCCGTTCTCTTGTACATCCCCCACATCTAAGACGACGAAGTCCACCTGGACAATAAGTCTTCCTACACGAACAAGGACATCTTCCACCACCCCCTTAGAATATCGGATTGATCGATCTGCAAGCTGGAGGCACATACGGGTCGGTCTCAGGTCTTCTAGGCCGAGCCGCTGAAAGATGGAGAACGGTATAAGGTTGATTCATGCTCCAAGGTCTAGCATCCCCGAAGCTTCCTTTCCGTTTCCGAGAGCTATCTGAATCACGAGACCCCCGGGATCCCGTTCTTTATTTGGAAGATCATGCTGCATAGCACTTGCAGCCTCGTAGACCACTACCTTCTCCCCGTCTCCAAATTTCCTCTTCTTCGCCACTAAGTCCTTGAAGAACTTCACGTACGAGGGCATATTCTTGATCACGTCTAGGAGTGGAAGGTTGACGTTAACCTTCGATAGCATGCTGTATAAGTCCCAGAATTGCTGTTCCTGGTTCTCATCTCGTAATCGGCTCGGGAAGGGTATGCTTGGTTTGAAAGGGTTTGGTGACTTGTGTAACATTAGGCCGTCTGTCTGCTTTCTTGGCTCAGCTTCTGTATTCTTCTTCGGGCTCTCCTCTACTCTCTTGGGTTGGTTGGTCGGTCGGCTTAGGGTCATCAAGTTTGGGCATTTCCAAGTGATTGTCTACCTCCTTCCCGCTTCTCAACACCGTTATGGCTTTGGCTTCTTTAGGCTGGCTAGGTAGCTTCCCCTTGTCTGAGTCGGCCTCCATGTTCCCCACTCACGTAGCAAGCTGGCCCAATTGTGTCTCCAGCGTTTGATGGATGTATT